TTCAGGGCTTGGGACCTATTTAAACGCCCTTATGTCCGTCCATTGTGGCTACTACCCCCCAGAGAGAGTCTCAGATCGTTTGAGAAGCAAGGAGTGACCATTGTTGATCTTTGTGGTGTCATTTTGTAAGAAGAAGGAGGTTCTAGCCAAGGGAAAGCAAAGGTGGTTGCTATTCTAAGGACTAAAAGCTAAGATCATTCATTTGAGGTATTATTTCGACTCTTCTTCTGTTTTGGGAAGGATATGTGGTTTTAGGGTTTCTTGTACCCTTGACTAAGTTGATTTGATGTCCAAATAGTCCCTTCTGGAGATGAGGCTTTGTACCTGAACCCATAGAGGTCTAGAGAGCCTTATTCTTGAAGCCTTATGAAGAACAATGGAGATCATAGCCTTAGGTTAAGGTAGTTGGGACAAAATCACCATTTGATGCCTATTGGTTGAGTTGTAAGCATCAAGATTTAGACTTTATGTGACATTTATGCTTGGGAAGGCCAGATCTATGGATTAGGGACACAGATCTGACCACGGGAGGTCAATAGAGTCTGTGCACAACATGAACTCGACGAGTTGTTCTTGAGACTCGGCGAGTAGGGTTAAGGTCCACGCAGATCACTCAATGAGTAGAATTGCCGAGTTGGGCGATAACTTAGTGAGTCAGAAGGGGGTTAAAAAACTAGAGTTCAAGGCGGTACTCGCCGAGTTGTTCTTGAGACTCGGCGAGTTGAGTCGAGGTAGCCCCGCGATTGATACCAGGTGTGACTCGTCGAGTACAGGGAAGGACTCGACGTACCAAGCGGGTCAGAGAGTTAGTTGACATGTGTGTACTCGCCGAGTCACCAGAGTGCACTCGGCGAGTTGGGTCAAAGTTGACCGTTGGCTTTTGTTGACTTTTAGGGTTTGGTCAACAATGGGGTCCTTGAGTCAAGAGGGGGTAAAATAGTCTTTTACCCTTTTGAGGGTGACAATAGAGGGTCGAGCCTAGCCTCGAGTGTTATGTTTATGAGGGTATTTACTTTGTGTGAAGAGGCGAAGGCTAGGCAATACTTCTACCGAGTCAGAGATTTACGAGACGTCTGAGGTGAGTCTTCTCACTATGCCTTACCCGATAGGGTAATTATATGTGACCGAAGGGTCTTATGTTTATGATGTATATGTGATGTAAGTTATATGTGATATGTTATGTGATATGAGCATGATGTGGGCCGGAAGGTCAAGATGATATGGACCTGAAGGTCAACAGAGTCTGGGATGGAAATCCCCTGAGACACTTGGATCGGAAGGTCCTATGGCCTGGAAAGGCGTATGTGCTATATGTGGTATTTTGAGGAACTCACTAAGAATTTATGCTTACAGTGTTATGTGATATGTGTTTCAGGTACTAGCGATGATCGTGGGAAGGCACTGCATGACTCGTACACACGCACATTGGAGTTTAAGCATGTTGATCTTGGGGTTTTGTACTGATACAATGTTGATACCATGTTTTTTTATTTATGAATGCAAACTATATTTCATGGTTTTTCAAAAGTGAAAATTTTTTCAAATTTTACGGTGTTACAAGTTGGTATTAAAGCCTTGTTTTGAGGGATTCAGAAGAAATTTTTTCAAGTGAAATTTTTTTCAAATCTATGGATTAGGGACACAGATCTGACCACAAGAGGTCAATAGAGTCTGTGCATGGCATGAACTCGCCGAGTTGTTCTTGAGACTCGGCGAGTAGGGTTAAGGTCCACACAGATCACTCAATGAGTAGACTTGCCGAGTTGGGGGATAACTCAGTGAGTCAGAAGGGGGTTAAAAGACTGGAGTTCAAGGCGGTACTCGGCAACTTGTTCTTGAGACTCGGCGAGTTTAGTCGAGGTAGCCCCGCGATTCATGCCAGGTGTGACTCGTCGAGTACAGGGTAGGAATCGACGTACCAAACGGGTCAGAGAGTTAGTGGACATGTTTGTACTCGCCGAGTCACCGAAGTGCACTCGGCGAGTTGGGTCAAAGTTGACCGTTGGCTTTTGTTGACTTTTAGGGTTTGGTCTACAATGGGGTCCTTGAGTCAAGAGGGGGTAAAATAGTCTTTTACCCTTCTGAGGGTGACAATAGAGGGTCGAGCCTAGCCTCGATTGTTAGATTTATGAGGGTATTTACTTTGTGTGAATAGGCAGAGGCTAGGCAATACTTCTACCGAGTCAGAGATTTATGAGACGTCTGAGGTGAGTCTTCTCACTATGCCTTACCCGATGGGGTAATTATAGGTGACCGAAGGGTCTTATGTTTATGATGTATATGTGATGTAAGTTATATGTGATATGTTATGTGATATGAGCATGATGTGGGCCGGAAGGTCAAGATGATACGGACCGGAAGGTCAACAGAGTCTGGATTAAGATCCCCTGAGACACTTGGATCGGAAGGTCCTATGGCCTGGAAAGGCGTATGTGCTATATGTGGTATTTTGAGCAACTCACTAAGCATTTATGCATATAATGTTATGTGATATATGTTTCAGGTACTAGCAATGATCGTGGCAAGGCGCCAGCATGACTCGTACACACACACATTAGAGTTTAAACATGTTGATCTTGGGCTTTTGTACTGATACAATGTTTTTTTACTTATGAATGCAAACTATATTTCATGTTTTTTCAAAAGTGAAAAATTGTTCAAATTTTACGGTGTTACAATATGGGGGTATGAAATCACCTTATGTGAGTGATTTGGTTGAAGACTGGAATAAGGATGTTACACTCACGAACAAAGCCCAGGAGCATAAACGATTCATAAATAGTATATTGTGACACACACACACACACACACATATATATATATATATATATATATGTATATAGTTAGTGAATATAGCTATAAAGATGCTTAGGAAACAACCTAGGGTGCAAGAATAACTCCCTAAAAGAGTGTTAGAAGCAAGTTAGGAGGCTGAAATGGAGTTCACGGCCCTACAAAGTGATCTCGAACCAAGAACACTAGAGTGTTCACGGCCCAAACATGAAGGGTTCATGGCTTATAAGAGTGGTTCACGACCCAAATTCAGGGAAGAACACTTGAAGATATTGTTGTTTGGCAAGTGCTTGAAGATACTAACTTGTATTCTAAGGAGATACAAGGGAAAAGGGATGAAAAGGACTGAGAATGGTGTTCTTGGTTTATGATACTTGAGAGAGAATGGGTTGTTTGCGGCCAGGAGAAGAAGAAGTGAAACAAAAATGAACCAAAATCACATATATATATATATATATACACACACACACACACACACACACACACACATAGAGTTCACGGCCTAACGAGGGTTCAAGACCGTGAACATGGTTTGTGACAGTGAACCTCATTTGTTGAGGTTTATGGCTCGAATGAAGTTCCTGGTTCTCGGTTGTTACATGGTTCACTTCTTAACACACAACCCTCACGTATACTAGGTCTAGAAACCTATATGTTTAACCTTTAGCTAATGTGTTTGACTTTAGAAGATAGAATATTTCGGGTTGTGACATTGCGGAGTAGAGAAATGGAGGAGACCTCGTCGACGTCCTGCAAGGTGTCTAAGACGTCCTTTAGGACGTCAAGACATTTTAGAATTTAGAGGCGTCTCGTGTTGGAATGACGTATTATGTAAGGAGCTAGAATTTTTGAAGGACATCATACGAAAAGTCTAAGACATCTACTAGGATGCCCACTATTTTAGGCCATTTTCATGTGTACTTCAACGACGTCAGAGAACATAGAAAGATGTACAAAGGATACCTAGGCGTTATACACGACGTCTAAGACGTCCAACGTCGCACATCGCCAGTTGTTGTTATTTCTTCCACACAATATAAATAGGCACCTATACATCCCATTTTAGGGTTCCCACTTCCGTAAATCAGAGACTTTACCTGTGATTTTGAGACTTCTAAGCTCTTGGAATCATTCCAAAACACAATTCCATTCCATTTCAATTCATATTCGAGATGAGATCTCATTTAGTTCATCATCAAGAAATGTTTGAAGATCATTCAACCGATGAATCTCATCGATTCTAGTATTTTTCAAAAACGGTTACTTATCCCCAAGGTTTATTTGTTCATTATTTTATAATCATTAGGTTATAGTTGTTGGATGATTTCAAGTTTTTTTTTTTATGAATTTTACTTCGCATTTTAATCATTTCATCCAGGTTATTGTTTTTATGAATTTTATGGAAGGCTAAATCATTAGGTTACTTCCGGGGTTGTTTATGACTTTTGGATGAACACACTTGATTATTATTTGGTTCTAGTTAATTATTTTTTTGTGTTTATAGGATAATCTCTTGGTGATAATGATTGAAATTGGGTTATATGAATTTATGTGATTTCATAACTAAAATAATACATTGTCAATTCATCGATTTTTCTAAGTTCAAGTAGTTTAGGAACAAATACAATTCGTTGAATCCACATTTGTTATTCCAACTTGTGATATTAAATCTTAATATTGTAATAGGGAGTTACAAGACACTATTGTCAATTTACTAATGTTCTTAATCCAAGTAAACATAGGGAGTATGACAACAAGTTGAATGAACATATTGTATACCCAAAATTATGTGTTGCAAGATAATAAACCCTGATTACATCTAAGTAATTGAACTAGGATTATAGGGAAGAAAGTGTGTGAATCTGAACTGTCCTACAACTAAATCGGGAGTGCCTTAGTTTTCTCATTTAGAGTTTCGTTTTAATTAATAAAGTTCCAAGTATTTTTGGTTAATCTTTGTTTAAACCTTTTCGTGAAAATACAAGTAGTCTATTTTCCGTTGACTATTTTGACACATAGTTTGAACAAGAACTCCTTGTGGATACGACTCGGCTTATCCTATCTACATAACTTAGTTGGTTTATTTTTGATTAAGACAAAAAATTCGATCAAAATTTGGCGCCATTGCCAGGGATATTGTGCGCTTCAACTATTTTGTTTACGTACTCATCGTCTTTTATTTTCATTTTAGAACCAAAATTCTAGAAATGTTGGTCCTCAATTTGTTAATGGTGGTAATAGTAGCAACGAGGATGACTGGGTCTTTGATGATGGAAGTGACAATGGAAATGCTTAGAATCAGAACCATAATGATCGTAGTAGGCGTAATCAAGGAAATCGAGGTGGAAATAGAAATTACAATAACAATTGAAACAACCAAAATTTCTACCATGGTGGTAATAATGACTATAATGATGGGTTCGAGAATCAAGGTTTTGGGAATCAATACCGAAGGAATCAAAATGGTGGATTCAATAATGCAAATGGAGGGTACTACAATGAAGGTAACAAATTCCCTCATCTTTACTTTCCGCAACCTAATCGACAATCCATGCATCTCATTTTCAGTCGGGAGAATATGATGATGCTTCACCTATACTCTTCAGAGAAGGAAATAAGCACCATGTGGAAGTAAGACCACAACTAACTAGTGTCACCCATCTTTAGAGGTCATATAATGACGATCCATACATTCACCTCTATGAGTTCCTTGCAATTGCTAATGCGAATACTCCATGAGGAACTAATAGAGAATCCTTTTGACTTTACTTATTTCCATTCAAATTAAAAGAAAACGCTAAGTTTTGGTTCATTTCTCTTTCCTCCCTTAGAATTACTACTTAGGAGAAATAAAAACAATATTTTTTTGCAAGAGTTTTACCTGAAGTAAAACCACTGAAATAATAAAAGTGATACAAGAATTTTCACAAAAACCAAATGAAGAATTTCATTATGCTTTTGAATGCATTAAGGAATTGTTGTGTTCTTGCCCCCATCATGAATTTCCTCGTTGGCAAATTGTATGTTTCTTTTATGATCGAGTCGAAACTGCCAATCAAACTATGATAAATGCCTCGTCCGGTGGCACTATTATAACGCAAGATAGTGAAGACGCTTCACGATTCTTGGAGCAGTTGATTCATGGTTCAAAAATCAATTACTTAGCTAAGAAACATGACACACTAGTTTCATTAGCTCCATCAGTTGAACTAGACACAAAAGTGGAAAAATGAAGTCAAATATGATATTAATTCTTTAAATAAAAAATTTGACTTGCTACTCGCTATTCTAGGGAAGGAAAAAAGTGTGTTTGTTTAGTAGGGATAAAAAATATATGTAAGTTGTGGAGATTCAGGACACATCACGGTTGAGTGCATGAGAAGTCAATAGGAACTCAATCAAGTTCATGACTATGGTCAATTCCAAAATAGTTCGTGATCATTCAATCGGGACTACAACCAAGGTGGTAACAAGAACAACAACCGTTAAGGAAATTACCAAAACCAAAATCAGTCAAAATAGTTCCAGCAGTTCAACTTCAACCAAGGTGGAACATCAAAGAAGGAGGAAACTGATAGTAACAAGTTGGACAAAATCATGGAGTTCATAACCTAAACATATCAGAAAGCTGACACTATGTACCATTACGACTCCCAGGTATAATATTTATATGATTTTCATGATTTTGACTAAGCAGCTTGACACATTGGAGGCCTCAACTCATCGAGTATAGAAGGGTTATAGCCGCGTGAGTTTTAAGACCAACTCGACGAGTTGGTGTTGTGAGAGGAAACCCTAATTTTTTGGATTTGTGTCCTATTTAAAGGACCTTAAACCCTCATTTTAGCCACCCTTGTCACCTTAGAGCTCTGTGAGATACCCTAGATCAGTTCCACTTGTTGAGAGAGAGAGAGAGAGAGAGGCTAAATTGAGTGTTCTTGTGCATATTTAAAAGGAGATTTGGAGAGAATTGCGGATTAGATCAAGGAGGGACTATGGATCTAGTGTTCTTCAGTGATTAGTTTCTGTGTGGAGGTAAAATGTTGCTATCTTGATCATTTCTTTGTGTGATCTTAGTTTATGGAGTTTTTAGGGTTTCCTCCCATCTATCTCTTGTTATTTAGTCACTTTACCAAACATCCAAGCTTTATTGAGCTAGAGGCAAGCTTTTGTGCATCCAACCCAAAATGGAGATTGCCATGCATAGACATAAAGCTTGCAGCTTTACATGGTATCTCAGCCTTGGAAGGATAGATCTAGAGTTTGGGGTTATAACTCTGCCTTAAAATTTTTGAATGAGAAACTAGACTTAAGGGACTCGACGAGTTAATGAGCCAATTCGACTAGCTGGCTAGGGTTTTCCCTGATGAGTCTGGACATGTGTAACTCAACGAGTTGATGAAACAACTCGACAAGCTAAGTTGGATTTTGGCGACATTGTTGAAGAGATGAGGGAAGTCGTCGAGTCACATAGATGCAATTAACGAGCTGGGTTAACATAGATTGTTGACTTGAGTGTTGACTTCGGTTGACTTTAGGGTTTGGTCAAGACAGGGATTATGGAAACCATGGAGGGGTAAAATGGTCTTTTACCCATCCCAAGAGACTAGATAGAGAAAATATCTTGGTTTATTTAGAGTTGTTATTTAAGTGTTAATTAGAGATAGTTATCGTATGTGTTAGGCGGAGGCTAGATCGGTGATTCGTGTATGAGGCTTATTTGCTTGCTTATGAGGTGAGTCTTCTTACTATACTTACCTTGAGTCGTAACTTTGTGTGACTGGGGGTATTGTGTGCTTATATTGAATATTGTGATATCCTACATTATGTATTTATGATTTATGTTGTGTGTTATGTTGAGCTTTACTGAGTTAGGACCGGAGGGTCCACCGGAGTTGTGGGACCGGAGGGTTCCACCGAGACACATCGACCAGAGGGTCTTATTTGAGAAATAGCCATGAGAGGATAATAATTTATGTGTGGTATTTTGGGGAACCAACTAAGCTTTATGCTTACCATGTTATGTCATATGTGTTTCAGGTACTTCTCAGGATCGTAGGAAGGCGTCGACTTGATTGTACACACGAGATGGAATTATTTTTTTGAGGATCATGGATTTTATTCTAACAATTATGAATATGTGTTTTTGTTAATTTGATATTTTGGGGATTTTGTGAAACATGTTGATGAGATTTATGTGGTTTTAAAAATGAAAAATTTTGTTTGAAAATTTTTGGTGTTACAAGTTGGTATCAGAGCATTGGTTTGAGGGATTTAGATGTACCTTCGGGTGTGTTTGGACTCAAACTGAGGATTTGAGAAAAAATATCAAAGGAAATGATTTTTACAAAATGAGAAAGAGTATTAAGAGAAAAATGAGTTGGAGCAGTGTGTATAATCAGCCAGAGCCTGAACGATGATTTTCCAAAATACCCTTACTTATTTTTGTTATGAGATATTCATGAGATATTAGGGATGTATGCTAGATGATAGGCTAGGTATTTCATATCTTAGGGCTAGAGTTGCCTGATTTATGATGCCTTATCTTAGGAGATGCTATTGATCGATGTTATATGTTACTTGCTTTGAGTATGTGTTGAGTAAGAGTATCTAGCAGTAATCACTTAGTAAGAGTTATGAGTAGAGAGATAATCTAAGAGAGATACGTGGATGAGCATATAAGGGGTCTACTAAGAGATTAGTCTGATATTCATGAGAGATAGAGTACTTGTCAATTGAGAGCCTAGGAGGAGGACTTGGGGTGACTACACGTTGGTGTGGAAGGTAGTATTGGGCCTGTACTACTGAAAACACCAGATTTGTATGTGACCCAAGTAAGAATCCTTAGGTTACTAAGGATCATGTAGGGGGGGGGGGGGTACCGAGTGTAAGTATGCTCGAACGAGTGTCTGATATTTTTGTGTTGTGTTTCAGAGACATCATGGTGAGTACACGCCACAACCCCGAGGGCGGTAGTGCTAGTGACGAGGAGATCCACATGATCACTCATGAGGAGGTGGCCGCAACTATCCGAGAGGCGTTATCGAAGATGTTTGGGTCTATCAAGACCACACTGATTAAGACATTCAATGAGTGATATGCTGCTATTACTGAGGCTACTGTTGTTGCATCCACCACAGCTGTAGCTGCTGCTAGGCCATAGGGAGGTGACTCGTTGTTTTGGGAGTTCAGCAACACGAAGCCACCAGAGTTTGATGGGACACAGGATCTAAATGATTCTATCATATGGATCTTCGACATTGACGGGTGTTTTTACACATGTTCATGCCCTGAGAACCTGAGAGTTCGCTTTGTGCTGAACCAACTTCACTTGGGAGCGAAGGACTGGTGGAAGTTTGTGACATCCATCTTTACTCCTGCAGATCATGTTGCAGTGACATGGAATAGTTTACACTATTGTTCCGAGATTCGTATGTTCCCCTGGTGGAGAGGGAACGGTTAGACCATGAGTTTCTATCTCTCAAGCAGAAGACAAACTATGAATGAGATCTCGAGGATTTTCCATGAGAGGACAATATTTTGCCCTGAGCACGTGTCTACTGAGTAGGCATGTGTGAGCCAATATCTGAAAACATACTAAGGAGGGATATACGTGAGTTTGTGGCGAGCTCATCATAACGAACATTGGTTGAGCTTCAGACCAATGCCATAAGGGGAAGATTGAGATAGAGTTGCATTCCAGAGAGGAGGAGGAGTCCCACGGTAGAGACACGAGACCTGATATTTGCATATTTAGTCATATATTAAGCATATATTTTTATCATTTATTAGCTAAATTATGTCATTTCATGGACAAAAGATACTTAAAAGTGTTTGAATGATGTTTTCAGTCCAATGTTTAAGCTTGGAAGCAAAAGGAAGCAGGAGAAGTGGTTTGGAGCTCGGGAATTAAACAAAGAAGAAAAACCACCAAAAACAACACCTACTCAGCAAGTAGGGTTGCCTACTCGGCGAGTCCGAGCGAAGGATCGAGAAGATAATGAAAAGATAAGGACTTCATGACTTACCGTACACAGGATTTAAGTGATGGACTTGGCGAGTCGGACATAGACTCGGTGAGTCGGGTCGAATCTATATATACGGTTTTCCAGATCAACATTCAACATTATGGAACCCTTGGGGAGAAGTAAGCTGCGAATCAGAACCAGAAGAGACCTAAAGAATGAAGATACAACCTAGAATTCAATCCTGAAGGAGATTTGAGGCAAATCTACACCATTCTACTTAATCTTATGTTTTCCATTATGGCTAGACAATTAGAATTCGTTTTTATGTTGTTTGTTACCTCAAACATGAGCTAAAACTCTCAAACTTCTGTTTAGGGATACAATATTGATACTATGGATTGATTATTATTGTAGGATTAATTCAATGTTGGTGATTTTGTTGATTTTAGCTTGTTAAAGAACCTTATGTGTGGATGACAACTATTTTTCTGCCTTTGTGTGTTCATTTTATAATTAAAAGTAGGTTTAAAACTAGTTGGTTTTACACACATGAAGTTTTTGGTGCCGTTGCCGGGGAACGGTTCTAAATTAGCACTAATTTTTATTTTTATTGA